GGGGGACGCCGGCAAGAACAGAGGCGGAGAGGCGAGCGCGTTGCGCCGTCCTGGAGCGGGGAGGTGGGAGCAGGAAGTGACAGCGGCGTGCCTGGGCCAGCCTCCGCGGCGGGTCTGGGCGTGGCCACGGGAGCCCCGCCCGTCACGGGGCGGAGCTAATAGACGGGGCGGGGCCTAAGTAATAGACGGACTCCTCCGGCGTCTGTCGTACGCAACCGCCGCACTGGAGGCGGTCAGTGATGCGATGGGACGGAGGTGGGGAGGTTAACTCAGTAGTTGGTTATCTGAGCAGTTCATGCACTTTTAAATGGATCATCACCTTGTGGGTTGGTGTGTTTTTTTGTTTTTACTGTTTTAGGAGCTGCGTCCAACGGTCTTTGTCTCCAGAGAGGACAAGGCTCCTGCACCATTAATGCAGGAAGGGCGGATTTTGGAACACGCAGCTCGTCCTGCGGGGCATGAGAGGAAACTGCACTTTTTATCTTACTTGCCAAGCGTTTCTGCTCCACCTTCCTCCGCAATAAGAAACCTTAAAACCACAGTCGATCAATAAAACAAAGAATAACCCATCGTCGAACGTAAAAACGCACCATTAGTGGAAAGAACCTCTGCTCCAGACCAGAAGTCTTTTCACAAGGTTGCCAATCTCCGGGTGGTGGTTTAATAAGTATTTTTAAAAAATTATTTTAGAGCCCTTTTTGCTAAATTCTATTTGAGGACTTGCCATAGAAATCACACTTAGAACCTGAGGAGCATGTCAACTTCCCTTGGACATTCAATAATAAAGGCTTTCCACTCTGCCTCTATTCTTGAAACCTGCTGATCACCAGGTACAAAATACCGACAAGTTCAGTGGGCTGAAGGGGAAGTGGGAAAAGTCCTGGTTTGTCAAATCCATACTCAAGTGAATGCAACTGGTATACATGCAACTGGAGCTGTTTCAGTATTGGTTCTTTACTGTCCATGGCCAATAAATGTGGTTGGATGGATGTAACTTCTTCAGTAGTTTCCTTGGATCAGGTGATCTGTTCTTCCACCGATGAAATACACTGTGAATTTCTATCAGCTGTGTGGATGTGCATTATGATGCACATGTTAGAAGTAGGTATCATAATCCATATTTTCATAGTTTTCTATAATGCAAATCCATATCCTGCTGCTTATCTAAATGGATATTCTCCCAAAACATAGCAAACATCAATGGTAAATGGACAAAGAATCTGCATGCAGTTCCATTTGTAACACTGAGGAATTCAGAATTCAGCAGCATCACTACCAGTGACAGGGCATGGCTATACTTCAGCAGAAAGGTTTCAAATGTGGACTTCAATAAGAAACTGCTGAGTTGGAATTCATATGCTGATTTTAGCTGTGACTCACAAAAGCTCATATGAAAAGAAATGTTAATCTTTAGGGTGCCACTGGACTTTTGCTTTATTTCTCTACCACAGACTAACATGGCTACTGTTTTACAATTTGATGCTACCAGTCTTGGACTCAAACTCAATAGGGACTGGAAAAGTAATTGTTTCTCCCTACAACTTCAGGTACACTTGATGAACTCTTGTGAATGGTTCACACCCACTCTTGGTGGACCACTTACTCTTTTGACTGGATCTCCTTTCCATCAATGTTCTGCAGTGTAACCCTGTCCTGGGCAACTGGGTCTTGAACACATGATGCTGCATTATACTGAATCAGACCATCATAGTCAGTATTATCTACTCAGACTGGCAGCAGCTCTCCAGGGTCTCAGGCAGAGGTCTTTCACATCACCCACTGCCTGGTCCTTTTAACTAGAGATGCTGGGGATTGAACCTGGAACCTTCTGCAAGCCAAGCAAATACTCTTCCACTGAGCCACAGCCCTTCCCTTCTTCTGACTTCTGTTTGTAATAGCTTCCCCCACCAGCGCTGCTGCTATTTGTACTTTGGGCGTGAATCTCTCTGCCAACTGAATGAATCTGATGAAGTGAGTTCTAACTCTTGAAAGCTTTTGCCACAATACATTTGTTAGTCTTTAAGATGATCAACCCTGACTGTTCCCTGGAAGGCCAGGTAATGAAACTGAAGCTCAAATACTTTGGCCACCAAATGAGAAGGGAGCACTCACTGGAGAAGACCCTGATGCTGGGAAAGATTGAAGGTCAAAGAAGATGGGGACGGCAAAGGATGAGATGGTTAGACAGTGTCATAGATGCAACGAACATGAAATTGAGCACACTTCAGAGGACGGCGGAAGACCGGAAGGCCTGGCGGGAGCTGGTCCATGGGGTCGCGAAGAGTCGGACTCAACTGTGCGACTGAACAACAACAAAGATGACAAAGCTTGCTTGTTAATAAAAATGGTGACACTGTAAGCTTTAATTTGTAAAAAAATGCTAAATATTGTGATACATCCTAAGATAGAGTAAGGATCCTATTTTATGTCGGTAAATTCCAGTGGGAAAGCAGAACTAGGCCACAGCAATGCTCTCACACACTTTCCCCTGTGCTTTCTTGCCTCGACCCCCAGAGCTGCCATTCTACCCTAAACCACAGCCCCCCCCCAGCATTTGCTAGATCTCTGCCAGTGCGATCCTAAGCAGGTCTGCTCAGAATCTTACTCAGAGGGGTTCGCTCCCAGGAAAGTGTCCTTAGGCTTGCACTCTATAGCACAGTAATGTTACAATGAACTATTGCCATGATCAAGTCAGTCCTCTGAATTCCCAGACTCGTTTTTTTAAAAATGAAAGCTGGCAATTCAAATGCGGTGGTAGTTCAAGGTAATGGTCATTTATAATGTGCCATAGCAATCTAGCAATCGCTAATTTTTTTAAAAAAAAGCTAAAAAAAAGACCTTTGGTGGGGGGCAGGAATGGTGGCCGCAAGGGGAAGGGAAATGGTGCCAGGTTAGGCTGGACCTACAAAGCGTGTAAAGGTGCTTTGCTTGCAATTTTTCTGGCAAGATTGTATTGAACCCAGTTTGAGAAGGATGCGATAGTAGAAATAAGAGTGTTGTGGCACTGTACTGACTAACAGCTTTATAATGCCATTCTAAGCAGGTCTACTCAGAATCCTACTCAGGTAGTTCTGTTCAGTGGGGCTTTCTTCCAGGAAGGTGTACTTAGGATTGCAGTGTAATTGTACATGAAAAGTGTTGTTTCTTGGCTTATTGATTGGCACACCCACACCCATCTCTATGGGAAAAATACAACGTGGAGTGAGAAATCCATGAAACGCAAGTACAATCTATGACATTTGTATGCACTGCTCAAATGAATACAAGAGAAGCGTAATGTGCTGCACAGCACCGGTAATTATAACACTGTATCAATAAATTATTATTATTATTGAATTGCCCAACCTCTCCCACAGCAGCACTCCGGGTGATGTACAAAACCCATAAAACAAAACAAGATAAAATCTGTTAAAACATTAATAAAACACTTCAGTCAGATGGCGAATAATTAACCAATACCAATTTCAACTGCCGATTAATTTATGTTACTTACAGTCTGCCTTTCTCACTGACACTCAAGACACATTGCCTAGTGTAAGTCATTACAATCAATAGGATGAGGAGGCATCTAATAAGCAATGTAGTAGGACTAGGATTGTAGAAATCTGAAAGGAGGCATAAGTATTAATCATTACATGCTAAACATTGCAAGAAATGGCGTTTACTTCATTTATAACCCACTTTTCTCCCCAACAGGGACCCAAAGTGGCTTACTTGTTCTTCTCTCCTGCACAACCACCATGTGAGGTAGATTACAGTGAGGGTGTGTGACTGTGCCAGGGTCACCCAGCAAACTTCCAGGGCAGAGTGGGGATTCAAACCTGAGTCACTCAGATTCTAGACTGGAACTCTAACCACTAGACATAACCACTGGATCACCAGATAACGCTTTCTCAGAGCCTTATTGAGAGCAGCAGGCCAGAGTATCACAGCGTCTTTCTAGAGCAGTGCTTGAAACCAAACCGGATTTGCAGTGCCATCCTTACCAGGTACACTGAGACACTAACTCCGGTCTATTCAATGAAGTTTGCTCCCAGCAGTGGTCTCAGGATTGCATAGCTGATGGAGAGGACAAAATAGAACACGTAGGACAGCGACAACCAGCCGAGGGTTTCCTTTGTGGGAAGCACACAACCTCCCAAGCCTGGCTGCAAGACAATTTTGGTCGCATAAAACCAGCGGGACAGTTCAGCGCCTAGGAGAGTGCCTGTCTTATCGATCGAACTGAGACCTAAGAGAGCGGCGCTCGCTTACTCTACCCTTACGGGGGGCGTGACCGATGGCCCCGCCGGGACGGCGGCCACCATTTTCCCCGCTACCATAGTAACCGGGCCTGGCAACGCGCGGACGCCGGGAAGCCTCGAGGCTTGTCGTAGGAGGGAACGTAAACGGCCGGCCGGCTTTTCCACCCAGTGGGATGCCGAGCAACGGTCTTCTCTCCGGTAAACCCATCGCCGTTTTAATCCCCCTTCCAAGGACGAGCCCCGCTTCTTTCTCCCCTCCCCGCGTCCCGTAGGAGCGATTTAACCCTTTCGCTTGTAGCGTCGTCTGGAGGCGATTCCCCTTCTTTTGCAAGTAGGGGACCGTCTCCAGATTCGCTTCCAAGAGCTTTTCCTCTTCCTTCCTTTCTTCCTTCCCTCCCGCAGGTTGAGCTGCCGCCGTCATGCCTCTGGACGGGGACGGCGACAAGAGGAAGCTCTTCGTTGCGGCCACCGCCGCCAACTACTTCGGCTTGCCGCCGCCCGCCAGCCTCGACGCCCTCTCCGCCAGCCCGGAGCTGGCCAGTTTCCTGGACGACGGCAACGAGTTTCTCCTCTCGGTGGGGCACTCGCAAGGCCAGCTCGTCGTCTCCCAGAAGGTAAGGGACGCCTGGAGCGGGTCAGCCGCAGCCCAAGCGGAGCAACGCCGGAGAGAGCTCCTCCTCACCCCAGGGTGCAGGGCTGGAACTGGGGTCTCGGAGACCCCGGGTGGCTGGCGGAAGCCGAGTGACTTGGAGATGCATCTTCCCCGGCAACAGAGGAACCGACCCCCGGATCGCAAAAGTGCATGTTGGGTGCTTCGTGCTGGCCTTTGCTTAGGATGCTGCTGGGGCTCCTGCAGGCTTGCGAGGCTTCCGTAGCCAGGATTTTGTGGCTTTTTGGGGAATTTCCCCCCCCCCCGGGGCTGAAGTTCTCAGTGCAGAAAGAAAAGCCATTTAGCCAACAGAAACCTGTTACCAGAACAGGTCTCTTAATTGCAAGCTGTCAACCACTCTGGATGACCGTTCTTAGCTGCTGATAGTTAATCACTTCTTTTATGCCAATAAAGGCTGACTTGACTAATCACTTCTGCTAGCCTAAGCAACAATTCTGACAACAAGCAGGCAGGTGGGGGTGATTAGATCTATTTGTATAGTCAAGAAAGCTAACACTTAGGCAGAAAAACTCTCTTAGAGGAGATCAGTTTCTTGACACAGAGTTAGAAGGGATCCTAGAGGTCACATATTCCAACCCCCTTGCTCAGTGCAGGAATTAGTTAGCCACCGCACCCCACTCTGCTTAAAGGAACGCACACTTTAAAAAAAATGTTTACAAATGACTGGGAAAAAACCATTCACGGGATAAATTCTTGTGGGGCTGTGTCTTTAAGAATGGCAGCAGACCCCCCCAAAAACCTCAATGTAGCTATGGGCCTGGCTTCCTGTCTAGACTCTTAAGACATATTTGCCAGGAAGGTGTGTTTCTAATGTCTGCTACAAGCTTCAGGTGGCTCCAGAGGGATTTAGGGTTGCAAGACCCCCTTGGCAACTGTAGGGGGATAGAGGGGTAGAGTTGCCATATCCAGGTTGGGAAACTCCTGGAGATTTGGGGGGTGGTCAGGGAACTTAGTGGGGGTATGATGCCATAGATTCCACCCTCCAAAACATCCATTTTCTCCAAGGGAACTGATCTTTGTAGCCTGGACATGAACTGTAATTCCAGGGGATCCCCAGGTCCCACCTGGAGGCTGGCAACCCCTACTTGAAAGGGTAGCTCTGTTGATCTGCAGTAGAAAATCTAGAATCGAGTCCCATAGGACCTTAGAGACCAACAGGATTTTCGGGATTTGAGCTTTTGAGAGTCAAAGCTCCCTAGTCTAGATACCTTCCTGGGGTATCTGAGGAAGGGAGCTTTGACTCTCTAAAGCTCATACCCTGAAAATCTTTTTGATCTCTAAGGTGCCACTGGACTCGAATCCAATTTCAAGTAGTCTGCCCTGTTGGTCTGCAGTAGCTACCAAGAACAGTAGCATTTTAAAGACCAACAATATTTACAGGATATTAGCTTTCAAGCTTTGAAGGAATCTTTGAAACTTGGAAGTTTATATCCTGAAAATCGTGTTGGTCTTTAAAATGCTACTGGGCTCAAATCTTGCTCTGCTAGAAGCTTGCAATCCACCCCCCCCCCCCCACCGGTTCTCCAGCTCCTTAACCAGTGTGCCATGAGCCAGTCTTCGACAAGCCAAGCTTCCCCAGTATGGCATTGCCACGATGAAAAAGAAAGCGAAATAAAACTTAACTTTTTCCGATGTGTGTGTGTCATCTCTTGTTTTCTTTGGTTCTTGCAAAGAATTCTGGGAGGGCTATATGGACTGTTTTCTGATCTCACTTGATTTTTAGTCCTTGTTTCTGAGCGTGCCAGTGAAGGCTGTTGTCTAACTTGTTTAAAATGCTTTCAAGAAATGGTTTTCTGCTGGTTGCTGGTGTTAGTCTTCATTTTTTAAAATTGTCATTGTTTTGGTCTTTTTGGTTGTCTTTTTAATGCCTGGTATTTTGTGAAGCTGCCTTGGGAACAGTGATTAAAAGTGCAGATTATAACTGTTTCAAACAAATAATCTAATTTTGGTACCTTATATATATGTGTGTATGTTTAGTATACCTTTTATATACAGCAGTTGTGCCAGATCCTTAGTTTGGAATTTAAAACCTATTGGTGGACCATTGGGGTACGGGGGGGGGGGATAAGTTGTCTCACATTATTTGGAGTCATATGTATACAAAATACCATTGTTTCTATTAATTTAATTCAAAGCAATGTACAAGCCACCCTTGTATATAATGTACAATTCCCCCCCCACGTATTTTTTTAATTTTTACTCTGTATTCCCACTGCATTGTCCTTCCTCATTTTAAAAAGCCTCTTGACTCCCTGGGGGTCTCTATATTGCTTTTTTCTTGTTCTATATGTGTGAGACTATTTTCCTTCATGTACCACCTTAGCCACTCTCTGGTCTATCATGATTTAAAATAGAAGCATATTTGTTTCTTTGTTTCTTTTTATTGTCTTGCAATGGTGATATATTTTCTCTAGTGTGTTACCCTGGTATTTGAATTTTTGTTCCCTCATTCTTCTCCCCCACACACACACATTACAGCATGAACATGTGTGGGGGAAACTTTAATGTATTTGTCATTTTACTGCTGTATGAACATGGTATTTAATACATTTTAATCCAGCCTCCAAAGAACGCAAGCTGGCATACATTCCTTTCGTCTCCTCCATTTTATCTTCACAACAACCCTGTGAGGTGGGTTAGACTGAGTGAGAGTAACTGACCGAAGCTCTCATTCAGTGAGTTTCATGATATGAAGAGGTATGACTTTGGTCTCCCCAGGCCTAAATCAGCACTATAATATTATAATATTATGCCAGCCGCTCTCAAACAGCAACACAAGGATCCCTGTTTTGATTTAATTTTTGTGCCCCCCTCCCTTTCTTTGTTACTGGCCCAATCACGTCAGAGAGCCCTTTTTTAAAGGGATCAGGGTACACTGTGTATGTCCTGTGGAGGCATCTGCTCTCTACAGCCCTGCCTTGCTCCTAGAAAACTGAGAGAATTCCCTTTTTGTGTTAACTGGCTTTCCTTGCAAAGAATTTGCAAAGTTCTTTGTTTAACCTCATAAAACCTCAAAGATTCCAGTACTCCAGTTTGGGAAACGCTGGGCAGAACCACAATGAGTATTCTAAATCTGAGTATTTGCATTTCCTAATCATACAGATTGAAGCTCGTAATTCAAACGATAAAATATTGGTATTCTTCAAGCTGCGACCAGATGTTATCACAGAAGATAATCTTCATACCAATATTCTTGTATCATCTATGTTAGATTCTCCTATCAATATGCTTTATCAAGCAGTGCGACAGGTATTTGCACCAATACTATTAAAGGTGAGTAAGTATCCAAAATACTTCAATAATTTTAAAGGATTCTTTTTTTTTTTGCCTGTTGGCTACATTCTACAAGTGTACAGTTTTCATTCATTCTAGGTTTTTACATCAAAGTTATAAAGAGTAATAACATCAGAGAAATAATTTGACATGTTCTGTTAAATTATGATAACCAACTTTCTGTTTTCAAGAAAAATTTATAATTTTAATTTTATTTATATTTTAAAACATTTTTAGCAGGCCTTTCCTCAGTGACCCAGTGGTAATTAACAATAATCAAATTATTTGACAATCATCAAATGTATTTGAGAATCATTATTTAACAAGCTTCAAAATTATTTGATCACTCAGGTTGCTTTGTTCCAATTACTGTGAACTTTTCAAAAGCCTATTTTGGCTGCGGCGTTATCTTGAATTTGGTCCCTTTGAAATTAGAAGTAAATATATGGCTAATGACAGTGCTGCAGTTTGTGAAACCCATATTAAAGAGTCTGAAAACTTATTCTCCATGTTTACATCTTGACAATAACGTTATCAGATAGCTAGGCCCCCAGGCATTGGCATGTATCCAGCCACACAGTTTCTTCAATGGAACAGCACTTCCATTTGCAAAAGAGGAGGTGGCAGTTTATGTTGATTTCTCCTCTCCCACTTTAGACCCCCCCACCCCAGTTTGCCCTGTGTGCTCTTTCAGAGGGTCTGCAGACCTCTGGGGACAAAATTTTTATAGACTGTGTGGAGTGCAGTAGGAGGGGCAAGTGGGGATATTCAGCTCCTCAAAGTTAGCAGCTAGTGGGATATATGCTATTAATATTAAAATACACAGTTGTAATAGACAGCTTACATTATTGTTCGCTTTTGTTGCAGGATGAGAAATGGAGTAAAGATTTTGATCCCAAACTCCAGAATCTTTTGCGTGAATTAGAGGCAGGTTTGGGTTCAGTTCTGAGAAGAACAGATAATGTCGAAAAAGGAGCCAAATACCGGGAAGATGACGTTCAAGGTATATAGCATTGATATTTACATACAGTGCAATTTAAATTCAAAATAGATTACAGTAATCTATCACACTCAAGTTTTTAAATTAAGATTTTTATCGTTTTAACACAAAAAGTTAACATGGCAAGCAAGCCACATATAGCCAGCCCCCTCCCTCTTCCCTAATGTGTCCTATTAGCAGAGAAGGAAAGAGAGAAAGGGAAAATAAAAACGTAGGGCTGGAGTATAGGTTATGAAAGTAAGGTGCAACGGTATGGATTCAATTAAACAGGGAATAAAGGTGAGGAGATATTCCATGAAGAGGTACAAGAATTCATACCACATGGAGTTGAAGGTTCTGGGAGCTTCTCGCCTGGTATATGCTATTCTCTCTTTTGTACAAAGGTTTAGCATATCATTGACCTGGAGATCTATAGAGGGAGACACTTGAGATTTCCAGTACTGTAAAATGATTCACTTAACAACTAAAGCTGCTCTTTGGATCCAAAATATGTGGTTTTTTCGAGAGTGCCCATAGAGTTGGTAAATATCCTAGGGTTAGATTATTGACTGTGAAGCGTAATTTAGCAGCTAATGTGAGATTGATCCTGGATATAACCTCCTGCCAGAAATGTGTGATATTAGAGCAATTCCAAAACATGTGAATGAGGTTAGCCCCAGGTTACCGGCAGCTTCAACAGGAATCATTCTCAGTGTGACCAACATGATAGAATTTAGTAGGTACCAGTACACTTGCAAGACAGTTTTTTGATGAATAAGCCTTAGTCATAAATCCATGGAGGCAGATTTAATGGCTTGTAGTGCAGTTTGCCATTGGGTTGGTTGAACTGGAGTACTCGGTTCTAGGTTCCCCTGGGAGTGGATATAATCCAAATTAAATTTGGTTTGGTGACTTAGAAAGTTATATATAAGGATGGGTTACCTAGGAAAGTTTTCTAAGGATGGTACTAGGCAAAACAGTGTGTGTGGGGTTTCCGAGACTGAGGAAGCTTCTGGTCCCAGAAGTGAAGACAGACAATGTTTTAGTTGGTTATATTGCCAACTGGCTGTGGACTGGAGATTAAATTCTGTGGAGAAAATGTCAAATGGTTTAAAGTCATCCCCTGATCCAGTCAGCTGAGATGTGTACTAAACCACCAGAGATCCGTTGCCTCAAAAAACCCCAAACACCTACCTTTATTCCCTATCCTAATCCTAGAGTTTTTCCAAATTGTTAGATCTCTTTGAGTATAAGGATCAACAGCCAACCAAGTTTCAATCATACGCCAAGTTGACCTAGCAACTGCAGTTACAGGTGAATAAACTTTTGGGTAATTTTAATGGGTAGAGCTCACAGCAGCCCCCTTAAATGGAGCATGAAGCTGGGTCATTTCCAAGTGAGCCCAATCAGGTCTTTCCTGGTCAGGAACTAAAGTCCAGTATTGTACACTAGAAAGCAGAAAGGCAAGATGGTATTGGCACAGATTAGGTATATTATATCTCCCCTGTTCTATAGGTAGCTGAAGCTTTTTATGTGCAATTCTTGGCCTACCTGAGGGGCTCCAAATACATTTCTGGAACAGAGAATAAATTTTTACAAAAGAACTTCAGGGAAATATGTATTGGGAGTCCGCTCAGGATATAGATGGTGTGTGAGATAATGTTCATTATAAGCGTGTTAATTTTACTCCAGGAGCTTATTGTTAGGGAGGTTCATCTCTTGAGATCTTGGAAAACCTGTTTCAGAATCCAATTCATATTCATTTGAACCATGGAGCAAATATCTCTTGGGATATAAATACCAAGATATTTAATAAATTCTGCATCAAAATCAAATGGCCATTGTTTGAGAGATAGGACATGGGATTTATTCCAATTGATATGATATCCTGATAATTCCCCAGAGTCAGTAATAAGGTCCATAAGGTAAGGAATGTTCAGAATCTGACAGAAAAACCATTGTACTGTCTGAATACAACATAAGCTTAAATTCCTTATCTCATACCTTAACAATTTTGATGCCTTCTGCTTGTTGAATGGTACATGCTAAGGGTTCAAGAGCTAAATCAAATAGTAGGGGTGAGAGAGGACAACCATGCTGTGTGCCAAGGGAAACAGTGAAACTGTTTGAGCATAGTCCATTAGTACATACTCTACAGCAAGTCTCATTATAGAGGATCTTCACCCACTTAATAAATTCTACGGGCATGGTGTAAGATGGCAGTACAGAGTACAGGAATTCCCAGGACAATCTATCAAAGGCCTTCTCTGCATCTAGTGATAAGGCCAACAAGGAATCATGCATATTTTTGTGGCAGCAATTACATCAATCAGGCAGTAATTTCCCCAGAGAGCACTTTCCTGGGAGCACCTTTTTTGGAGGGCTGTTAACTCAGACCCTATAAATCCAATCCTCACCAAACGGGGAGGGCAGGTAGAGGAGAGTCAGTTGGAGATCCCCTGTGAGTTTGGTGTCCCTAGCACGCTAGGGGGCTGTTCTAGTGAACCATTAACCTCATAAACCAAACCAGTTAGTTTCGCTCCTAAAAGTTCTTGGCGGTTCGTGGTTTACAAACCAGGCATGCCATGTACCACAAACCAAACCGAACTGCATTTTCCCAGTTTGTGCCCATGTTGGTCTGAAGCAGACATGCTGTGTACAACTTTCAGGTTCCGTTTCTCTCCCCGTCACACTCAGATGAGGTATGTTCCCTTGATTTCAGCAGAACTTGCTTCCAAATGAGTGCATTTACAGTTGTGATTTAATGCTTCAGTGCTAAGTAATTTGTTGTTTTTTGTTGGTATTCACACTTCATATATTAAAATGGATGTGTTACATTCAGTAAGGGGTACATTTCATAGTGTTTTTTCGGTTTACTGCTTTGCTTTCTGGTGATAGAAATGGACCAAACTGAATTCTGTAACTTCAGCATTCCTTTAACTTGTTCAGTGTTTTCTTCAAGACAACTAGGCAACTCTGTATGTTGTGTCCGCTGGAATAAATTCCTCTTTCTTCTCTTTTTTCTTCCTAGCAATACTTTCTCCAAATGATGAGTTTCAGTTCTGGACAGAACGTGCACAACATGGAAGCAAACTGTGTAGCAAGGAGAGAGCCTCTCATTTTAAAGAACTGTTTGAAGCCATTGCATATGTGCGTAGTTTGTTCTGTTTGTAATGTTATGCATACCTGCATGGTGGAATATGTGTTAAAACACATCGAAGTATAGAGGGTAACCAAAGAGCATATGTCTGCTTATGAATGTGCTCCTGACCTGCATAGATTTTCTCCCTAAGCATCACCCTGTGCCACATGCCTCGCTGTTCCAGTGGGTTCTGAAAGCCTCAGAAATGGTTTTTGAGGAATACAAAGGGCTACAGCAAAAAGAGAGGGGTGGGAAATGCCCATTAGCATAGGTATCTGGTTGACCTCAGTAGGACACAGGATGCAGCATTTGCAGAAAGCATTGATGTAATCTGGCAGAGCTCTTCTGTGAATAGGGATGTGCATTCGGTTCATCATTTTCCCACCCTAGAGAACAATGGAGGGGATAGGGGCAACCTGTTTGAGGGCCCGTAGAATTGGACCCCCTGGTCTAATGTTTTTGAAACTTGGTTGGTATCTTGGGGAGAGGCTCCAGCAGCTAACCTGCGAGTCTGGAGCCTCTCCCTCAAATTGCCTCCCCTCCAGCCCCCAGAATATACCCTATGTTTTTGCCATTGACTTCAATGGCCCATAGGATATAATGGGGCTGAAACTGACATTCGGCTAGCCTAAAGACTCCTGAATGGGCTCCTACTGCCGAAATTGACATGCAGGAGTCCTTATGCTGGCCGAAACTGATTCTGCTGGATTGGGCCGAATCCGAATTGGGATGATTTTTTTTTTTGCACACCCCTATCTGTGAACAGAATTCTGCACATAGCAGTTTGCAAGTTAGCCAGCACTCACAGCTCCACATGCCCATTGAGTTTGTATATTCAGCTCTGAAAGACTGAGCTCTACAAGCACATGCTCTTTACTTTTTTAGAATCAAAGTAATAGGGGAGCTCTTGTTGCAAGTTTTAAGATGTCTCACTATACTGTGCTCATTACTGGTACTGGTCTTTACCATTAGTTGTGTGCTGCAGTGATACTGTGAATCTTTAAGGGCAGTGCAGATAACGAATTCTGGTCAGTGAGCATTTGTTCATTGGATGTTTTCCTACTCATTGCAGAAACCAGGTTGTCTCAAATATCAAAGGATCCTTAGCATCTGGGTCTATCCCTCCAAATATTTATAAATGAGTGGTGCAGCATGTATCATTTATAGTTCCCACTAACATCAGCAAGATTGTTTGTTTGAATTGTCCCTTGTGGCCAATGCTCCCTCTAAGCTGTGGAGTCTCGTGAGCAAAAACCCTACTTTGTGAGCAACTGGCATTAAAGTTGTGAGTGAGCAATTTGGCTACTGCATAAATTAGTTTGCCCTGGAGCCATCCTTCCTGAGCTAAGACAAAAATGTGTGAGCTGGAGGCTAATAAACTGTGAGCGAGCTCACACTAACTCAGCTTAGAGGGAATACTGCTTGTGGCTATACAGTTTTGGTTGAATGAAGTCTTTGTAATCGGTGACTGTTGATGAGGTGCTGTGCTGGGAAGTATGAGGCTCTTGTCACCAAGGAAACATCGAGGTGGAGGAAGAATTCATGTCCTTATTGTCAGACTTTGGGAAGGACATGGGGCTTCTAGGTCAGCACTGTGCAAGTTTTTAGTCATGGAAAAGTAGAAGTTGGTAATTCTATAAGACTTAGTAACAAAGATATATTAGTTTACTGTTGTTTCAGGCCTCTTGCAGTTTGTTCTGCGTTGAAAGGTTTCCAAGACAAATAATGAAACAATATATGACAGTGGGAAGAGTAATTAACCACATGTAACCTCTGCGGTGGCTCAAGTAGTTAAGAAGCTGAACTGCAGGCTGTGGAAGGTCGGTAGTTCAGCAGTTCAAGACTCGAGTGTGCCGCATGATGGAGTGAGCTCCCGTCTCTAGTTCCAGCTCCTGCCAACCTAGCAGTTCGAAAGCAAGAAATTGCAAGTAGATAAATAGGTACCACTTCGGTGGGAAGGTAACAGCGTTCCGTGCGCCTTGGTGTTTAGTCATGCCAGCCACATGACCACGGAAACGTCTTCAGACAGCGCTGGCTCTTCGGCTTTGAAATGGAGATGAGCACCACAACCCTAGAGTCGGATTCGACTGGCTTTCGAACAAGGGAACCTTTACCTTTTTAATAAGCAATTAAAATGGAAATATCCCAAAACATTAAATTCCAGCTTCTTAAATCAGATATGCTGTTTCCATACATATGTTCCTGAGTGACTGATTTAAGGATTGCTACCTTCTCTTCACTGTATGCAATCATGTCTTTAAACATGCGCTGTACTTACAGGACTATTACAACTTGGACAGCTTATCTTTATTTGAAGTTGTGGATTTAGTGGAGACGACACAAGATACAGTTGATGATGTATGGAGACAAACTGAGCATGAACCTTTTCCACAGCTACGCATGCAAAACCTATTGGATGTCATAGGTAACATTCATGATTTATGGTAAACAAATGTTTGAAAGGTAGTCTGCTGTGTAAAGAGTAGTCATTGTTTACAGTGTAGTCTGCCATCTCTGTGTTGTGCTCCCTGGCTATCTCCCCCACCCCCAATTCACTGAGGTTTTATCCATAGGGTGAGTTCGCAGGGAAATTTCCAGCATTTTTATCTTGGCACTTTAAGGCTTCATAGGAAGTGACATAAAAATTATCTAAAACAGGACAGTAGGTGGAGCAGGGGTCCCTGCGGTCAGCATTATTCCTTTCCTCCATGGATTCTGTGCAATGTGTGATTCCCTCTTGGCTGCAATGCTAGTGGATGGGGAAGCTGGACAGGCTGAACACAGGTATGGTCATTTGCAGGGAATGATTCTTGCTAATTTAGGGCATCTGTGGTTGGCAGATGTGGTTGTAACCTGTGGTTTACACAGCTAATAACAGTGCAGTCCTAAACAGAGTTACATCTTTCTTAGACCCATTGATGTTAATAGGCTTACTCTCGGGAAAGTGACTGTAGGACCATAATCATTACTTACAGAGCGGTCTTATACAGGATTTCTTCAAGTTTTAAGCCCGTGGACTTCAGTGGGTTTAGGCTGAATGGAGTAAGTCTGCTATTCATTCGCTTCATTTACGTGCAGCCATTCTTCACAGTGGGGACCAGTGTTCCCTCTAAGCTGAGTGAGTGTGAGCTAGCTCACAGTTTTTTAGCCTCCGGCTCACACATTTTTGTCTTCGCTCAGGAAGGATGGCTCCAGAGCAAACTAATTGAGGCAGTAGCCAGATCACTCGCTCACAACTTTAATGCCGGTAGTTCAAAAAGTAGAATTTTTGCTCATAAAACTCCACGGCTTAGAGGGAGCACTGGTGGGGACACAAATTGGTTCCATTATTCTCTTCTCCATTTATCTCCACAACAACTCTGGGAGGTAGGTTATGCTGAGACAGGGGTGGCCAAACTTGCTTGATGTAAGAGCCACATAGAATAAACGTCAGATGTTTGAGAGCTGCAAGACACAAACAGATATTACACGTTTTTACTGGTAAATATGCAAAATTGCTTTTTATTAGCATTAAATGAGACTGCCAAAAATAATAACAAAAGCAGTAAAAGCAGATACTGATAATGATACTGATTTGTCCAATGATATTTGTTTGCTAATGATATTTAGCTTCCCCAGCCGCACAATATGTGTGAAAGAGCCGCGTGTGGCTCCCGAGCCATAGTTTGGCCACCCCTGTGCTGAGAGGTTGTGACTGGCCGAAGGTGACCCAGCAGTCTTCCATTGCAGAATGGGGATTTGAACCTGGGTCTCCTGGGTCTTAGTCCAGCACTCTAATAAGATGTTTCATGTCAAAATAATGAAGACTTTGGTATTGTGTTCCTCACTCCCTGTCAAGATAGCCCTGGGTGCTATATTTATTATGTGCAGACTGAGAAGTGTGCTGCCCTTGAGGGTTCCAAAAAAAGCTTGCTTTTGCCTAGGTGTCATCTTTGGATTCAGACAAACTGGGTTTTTGTTGTCGTCGTTTAACATTGGCATTGCCTCAGACTTCCTTGTAGTGACAACTGAATAACAACTTTAGATTGCAAAAGGCTCAAGATGTCCAGTCTGTAATCTCTCTAGTGTTATGAAGTATGTGTTATATTGGCCTGAATTATCTATATTCATCTCAATGCACTTCACCAGTCTGAAGGAATGCTCCTGTCCCCTTATTTAGAGTCATCATTCAGCCAGGACACAGTCCTTCCAGTCATCAGCAGTGAAAGATTATAACAGTGAATGATTATAACTAACTCATGTTTCTAGCCATTTCTTATGGTATATTGCTGTGCCCACCTCATTTGTTGGCTGCCATTGTACTTTACAGGCTGAACTGTGCAAGGATAAGAGTACTTGCATTGCCCTTTAAAGCACCGAAAACCAGCGTGTAGAGTCTTTCTCCTTCAGCAGCGCCCTGCTGTTCTGTGAAGCTTTAAAAATCAGTATCATTCAGTGAGGGTTGTGCATTCATCGTCTGCTGTGCGGAAATTAATTTGGACGATTTGTGTGTATACACTTTTTCCAGCTGGCTCTCTTGGAAGATTTGTTCAGAAGAAGCTAGGAACGTTAAATCTGTGGGAGGATGCCTTTCACATTGTGAAAGAAAATCTGAAGGCTGGCATCATGATCTGTGAACAGTGGGTGGCAGCCTGCGATCACCTGACGGGGCAGCTGTGGCAGCGTTACACCCCACACTTGTGGCAGGGTGAGAAATACATTCCTGAAACACTGGGCAAACTCGGCAAGCGACTTGAGGAGGTATACTTTGCTACGTTTTGCACTTCTTGGAGTGGTAGAAGTAATTAAAGTTTTTTAAGCGAAATGTTTTCTCATGGGGAGGATCTGCAGCTTAATGACAGAACTTTTTCTTTTTTTGTATATGAGGTCCCATGCTTCTGTTTCGTCCATCACTAGTTAAAGTTTTTTGGTAGCAGAGCAGGAAAACTAACCACCATAGAGAGCCACTGCCTGAACAGATAATATAGGACAAGATGATGTGATATGAAGGCAGCTTCAGATATTTGTATAGGGACAGAATTGAGTGCTGTAAGGAAGGGCCGTTGTTCAGTGGTGTGGTGTGTACTCTCTCTATGGACAATCCCACTGCTGGACTCCAGGATCTCCAGCTAAAAGGGAAGCATGAGTTACAGTGCTTAGAAGGACTCTGAGGCACTGGAAAGCCTGACTTTGTACGGCTAGGAATTTACCTGTCAGAAGCCCCACTGAACTGAATCAAAGTTGTATTCTCTCATAGAGCTTTCATTTTGTATCGAGGAAGAATGCTTAGGAGAAGCACTTGTATAGAATTCTGTGAAATGCATTTCAAAGTGCATGGCATTTACAGGGAAGGGTATTCTCATAGGCTCGAGTTATGTTTTTGAACATTACTTCAATTGTTATAGCAGCACGCAATCATGTAATACTTTAACCATAAGAGTTAGTTATAATAGTCTCTGCATTGATTTATTTTATAAGGGGTGAATATATTTTTCATTGGATGTTGCATTTGTTGAAGCTTTTTCTAACTGTTTTGGATGAAATGGACTTGGCATCTCTCTAACTGCTTGTAGCATTTGATGCTGTTAGAAATGGTCAGAATGTCATGTTTCTCTTCTAGGTGCTAACTATTAGAACCCTCCATGAGAAACTGACCTATTTCTTGCCAACTGGTGAAGAGCAAGCATTGCACCTTGCTCAGGTGTTTGAGCCCTTTGCTGGTCTGAATCCTGTACACTATAATCCCTACACTGAGGTATCGTGCTTCTATCTTATATTAATTGTATGCTTGCTCTGCTGGCGCTTGATATTTGAATTTTGATTAAAGTGTTCCCATTGCTCCTAGCCTTTGTGGAAAGCAGCCGTATGTCAATATGAAAGAATTATTGCTCCAGCAGAACAGAAGATAGCTAGCAAACTGAAGAAGTTTCTTTCAGAAATCCAAGACAGTCCACAGCAGGTAAACAGTTTATTTTAAATAATCTGATTATTTTATTGGGGCCAGAGGTCATTTCGAGGGGGAACGCGGGGGAACACAGTTCCCCCGGGTGAGGTGCAGGGGGCGGGGCACATGACGAAGCCCCGCCCCCTGCTTCCAGCCACCCCGCTTCCAGCCCTCATTCAGCCAGGAGGAGGCAGGAGAAGAGGGAGGGTAAGTTGCTTCCCCCCCGCCTCTCCCCACCCCTGCCTGCCTGGGGCCAGGGAGGGCCTTTGCGGGGCTTCCTCGCACTCCCGCTGGCCTTGCAGGTCCACCACCGGGCCCCTGATGTCAGGGGGTGTGGCATATGCTAATGAGTTATGCTAATGAGTTCCCCTAGCTCTTTTTCTACGAAATGACCCCTGATTGGGGCGCATCTGAGGGCGCATGTAGAAGAAATAGGGCATAGTTCGGCTTCTCGCTCAGTGACTCTTGGTTGTGTGACAGGGCTTGCATACCTCAAGAGAGGTAAAGCATGCCTTGAAAAAGTATATAATCATATTGGGTACTTCCTCCAGATCAGGGCGGCACCATGTAGGGTTGGTTTCTGTCACCCACCTCCAGTCTGTGGGTGGCGTCATTGCAAGGGGAGAGTACCAAGGTGCCCTAATGCAGCACAGGCTGCAGCTCATGGGTGTGGGAGAATCCTAGAAGCTTCACTGTTGACCAGAAAATTCTGTCCCATCCCTGCTCTGTGACTGATTAGGCAAAGGGAGGGGGTGCAATGATGAGGGCGGTTTTAACTAACAGCACATTTTCTCACTGTTGTAGGAACCAGCTGATAATTATAGATTTAAGTGTAAGTGTGCCCCCACTTTTAATCCAGAACAATGTGGTGCCCCATGTTTTAGAGGCATTGCTGTAGAGGAACACATCTGCAAATGCTAAAAGCCTACCTGAGGTTGGAAACAAAGCTTCAGAGCTTTTGAGGATGGCTAATGGAGAGCATGCTATCTGATACGTTTTTACTGTTTAAATTAATTATTAGGCTTATGAACCTTTTGCATACTTCTAATGTTCACATTTTAGTTATATTTCATTGCAGTCTTCCTTTGAAGGATCAGTTGACCTTCCTTGGCTTTTCTCTATGGCCTGCTTGTCTGCAGCTGTACGACTGGCATTTGCCTAGCTGGAATTTGTGTTGTCAGAATTCTCCAGTTATTGAATTAGAGTAAATACTTGCATCTTTCAGTAATAAAATAAATTGTTACAAAGAGCAATTGCATGTTGCTTAGAAGAACATGTCTGTTTTATTCCTAGCTTCTTCAGGCATTTCAGAAATACAAGGAACTAGTAAAGCGCCCAAGCATCAGCAAAGAATTGCTTTTAGAAAGAGAAACTTTGTTGGTGAAACTTCAAGATTCAGTCAAAGGTAACTGTGTATCAAAGAGAACTGTTACAAGGATTTCAGATACTTTGCTTGCATGAACTGAAGTCTAGCGGTTTTTTTAATTTCTGTAATGTTTTATCTCATTTTTCTTCTTTTGTCATAAGCCCTTCATAGGGGTGAGCCTAATTTGTAGGAAACTGAGGATGCCCTGAGTCGTCCTAAGATATCTTTTATTAAAGCAGCAAAGTTAGGTTTTATGTACTGCTGTTACATTTGTGTGGCTGGCAATGTGTATCATTCAGTGATATTCCTCATTTTTCCCTTGATCTCCAAAGCCGGGACCTTTCCCTTCCTTTTTTTTTTTAATTGTTCTTTATTAATTATTCTGTATTTCCTGAAGATGTCCACTGAGTGGCTAAGAAGGCCTTGGATCAATTTAGTTTTAGGTTCCTGTGTCCAGATTTTCATTCCTCCAAACTAACAGGACAGTCTTAAGCAGAGTTACATGCTTACACTTGTCTTCAGTGGACTTAGAGGAGTGTACCTATGCTTAAGATGGCACTGTAACAGTGCCATCTTAAGCATAGGTACACTCCTCTAAGTCCACTGAAGAGTTATTATGGTCTAACAGTGCAGTCCTAAGCTCATCTACTCAGAATCCTGCTGACAGCTACTCAGTGGGGCTTACTTCCAGGGAAATGTTCTTAGGATTGCATGGTTAGCCTGTTGAAATATATGGGTTGAGACCAGAATGGCTCTGTGTAGGATTTCATGGTATTGAGCAAGACCCTTGGGGTCTAAGAAGGTCACATTTTCCCCAGCATATTATGTAGCACTCTTAGTTTGGGGCACTTCAAAGCCAAGTCTGGAAACCTGAAAGTAAATCAACAAAGGATTTCTTCGGCAGTAGAAATTATGTCCCTTTCCGGTGAAGAACCCATTCATATTTGAGAGACGGCCTGTTCGATATGTTGTTTTTCTTTTCTTTGGGCAGAAAGTATTTGAGGGAGAGGTCAGCTATGGCAAAAAAAAACACTGTGCAGTACTGCATGCACCTTCAGTTCCAGGTAGTTTTGAAAACTCAAGGAAAAAATCCCAAGTTCTTTTCCTGAGCATGCTGATAACTGAGATTCAGACAGACGGTGGCTTGAGCATCCTCCCTTGGCTGCTGCCATCATATAACTTAGCATTTATATAGTAGTTTCAAGTGTACAAAGTGCTTACTGTGCATTATCTTGTTCTAATCCTCACAGTAACCCTATATGGTAAATGAGTAGCATCATCTCCCTATTGTAGATGAGGAAGTGAGATACAGTGGGTTTCCTAAGGCTACTGTGAACCCATGATAGGGACAAAATCTGGATTGGGGCTTTTCTGTTTCTTAGCCTAGTCTCTTAGCTATACCAGCTTCATGTATCTTTCAAACTTAAAAAAACAAACTTATTTTCTAATACTTTTGAGTACATTAAACAGGCACCATTGAATTTTTAACAGTGATCAGATTTCAGCCTTGCTACCTTGGGCATTCGCAGAGGAGTTCTAGCAGAGCCCAAGGCATCTGTATAATTTATTAACTGATTGCTTGATGCTGTTAACACAGATTATCGAACAGACTTTGAGACAAGATGTCATGGTGTTCCTGGGGATGTCTCTGGGCCACTGGCAGGCAAAAATCTTTCTGAAGTTGTGAATAATATTGTTTGGGTACGCCAGCTGGAATTGAAGGTACATTTTCTTTTGCTGGATGTGACATATAAGTAAATAGTGTATCATATATTCATGTGTTCATGCTTAATGTAACATATAAATAAATAGTGTATAATAGGGCATGGTTTCCTGTCTTGAAAAACACAAAATGCTCTACATCTTACAATAGCACTATAGATAAGATTAGAATTTCAACAGCCAATCCATATGCCTCTTCAGGAAACCGCTTCAGAAAAGCTCCTCCATTAGCATGTCACAGCCTGGGGAACTCCTACAAGATAATAACTCAGCCCTACCCCACCTTCCTGACTAGATATAAATTACCTGCCTACCATTTTTCTTCTCACCTTGACACATCTGTCTGTGTTATACCTCTGAGGATGCCAGTCACAGCTGCTGGCAAAACGTCAAGTCCTGCATTGCCAAGACCATGGCCATACAGCCCGGAAAATCTACAACAACTAGTATATCATTTATTTTTTAATTTTATTAAAATAAACACATTACAGATACATTGCCAATCTAAACCCCCTTTCATCCTGCCTCCATGGACATAGAAAACCCTTCATCAGGAACTAACAATATCAATACTGTTTCCAATTATACAATTGCCATTTCTATTCTTTGTATAGCTCTTGACCATAAAAGATCTATACTGTATGTATCTCTGTTTTTCTGATAAGCCATTAATTTCACTGAAGTTTAGACCTCCTTTATTTTCAACAACCAGTCTTATCATTTAGGGATATTCTTTTGTTTCCATTGCTTGGCAGAAACCAGCCTGGCAGCAGTAATCATATGTAGGGCAACCATTTGCTGATCTCTAGGGATATCAGGTAGGTAATTCAGCAGCAGTGTCTCCAGTTTATAGGGGATTTATTTTTCCAACCCAATTGATATAATTTTCACCATTTGTTTTTGGAGGCACGTGTGCATGTACACCACATGTGAAATAAAATGAAAGAAATCTGCATCATCTTCTTTACAGAATCAGCATAAGCTGGTACCAGTCTTATAGATCTTTAAGGTTGTTAAAGGAGTTAAGTGCCACCTGTAAATCATTTTCAACAGGTTTTCTCTAAAAGAGAGGCAAACTGTAAAACTATCTATTGCAAAAGTTTTGATCAGGTTTGAGCATCATTTTCAAATTTCCATGTTAAATTATCTACATTTTTTCCTACCTATTGCAAAAGTTTTAATCAGGTTTGAGCATCATTTTCAATAGACAAGAATACACTCTGGAAATAAAACTTTTACCATCTGCTAAAGGCAGTTCCTCAAACTCTGTTGTAGGTCTTAAAATAGCATAGTGTATCATTTATGTCTACGATGTTACTAGTCTGAAAAGCCAATTGTCAGAGTTTTCCTGAATAGGAAATCTGTGGCTACAATCCTACAGTTAAGATGCTAAAATAAGCCCCGTTAAAGAAAAGGAGTGTATATAGTAAAGTATATAGTATAGGAGTGTATATAGTAAAGAAAAGGAGTGTATATAGTAAATATATGCAAATGAAGCAGAGCAGCTCTTACAAGGCTCTATAACAGTCTTCCCTTTCCAGTGTAAACTGCATACACTTTTGCAATGCACTTTGTCCAGTAGGGTCATTCAACCTCATCTGAAACCCTCTTGTGTCTTACCAGCAGCATCTTATGGCCAGCTTTTCTCCACGTTCCCACACTCAGTTCTGCTTCTGCTTTAGCTGGGAGGAGCCTGTGCATGGGTGAGATGGGGGTCTGGGGAACAGCTGGCAACAGGATTCTTCCAGTACGATACAAGAGGACTTTGGATGCTTCTGAATGACCTCAGTGGGTCAAAGAACATGTGGAAAAATATGTGCAGAAGTAGCTTGTGAGGGTGTGGTCGCTCCTGTAGTGCTGTCCATGCCTTGTGTTCCGTGAGCACAGGTAGTACTGTGCCCAGTTGGAGTTAAGCAAGTGAAATATATACTGCTTGCCATCTGTGACACTACTGTTGTTTTTACTGGAGACTTGACTACTTAAAAAAAAAAAACCTTTGGTTTTTTAGGTTTAAATTATTCTGATTGATTGATTGTGGCTGCAGCTTTAAACAAACAAACGGACACCCTCATGTAAAGGACAGTGTAGCCCAGGCCCTGTATGTGAAAATGTATGGGCACAAGCCTTCACTTGACAGGGGGCAATGCAGTGCAGGCTCAGTATCACGTAGTGTAGGGTCAACATCAGAAGAATTTTGTTAGCAGAACAGCATCAGTGAGAGGGACAAAGAATGAAGTGGTGGAGGAACAGCTTGTGTCCGGAGTGTGTGTTTGTATGTTGTTCATTAGAACATCTCCTTCCTGTGCTTAGTATTTTCACTCTAATGAAAGAACATTTGTTGTGGGACATAGAATGTAGGAGACACAGATTTGTAGGGGAACATGTTTGTTTTTTAGATATTAAGATACTATTAAAATTGTTTTTTGTGGAAGTGTGAGCAATTTAGGCTAAATAAATGTTGATATCTTGTTCTTTGTACCTTAATATGTTGCATTTCTAGGGAAAAAATTTAATATCCAAATGTTAAACTTCGTATATTTTTATACATAGGTGGATGATGCTGTTAAGATTGGAGAGGCGCTTCTTTCGGATTTGCCTGGATTTCGAAATTTCCGCCGAACCGCAGATGATCTTCTGGAACAGTTCAAAGTATACGAACAAGAACAATTCGATGATTGGTCCAGGGACATTCAGACAGGTCTGTCAAACCCAAAGTCTGGTCTTTGGTAAGTAAAAAAATACTTTGTTGAATACAAATAATATTAGAAATCTGTAGTGACACAATTTAGCTGAGAAGCAACTTGCTTTGTAGAACCAGCACATCTCCAGAGCACAAAAATACCCAGTTATGACCAAAAGTCTTGTACAAGAAGTAGGTACCGACCTTGTACTAACAGCCAGTTTACTATAAGTTACACTATGAATGTAAATTGTGTATGTGACAAATTTTTATTTGGTTCTGCTTTTCCATTAATAAGGTCATAGTTGTCACAGGGACTGTACATGACAGCCTTGTCATCGAATGACCCTTAAAGAGTAGTAAGTAGCATATATGAAGGATATGACAGGCCTGCCTTATTACTCTGAGTGTAGCATAAGTTTGAGGGTCCCATTTATTTTGCAAGCAGGTGCATATCTACAGTAAGGCTAGGTAAAGATCTCTCTTCCAGTAGCAGATTGGGGAGCCCAACGAACTGAGGGAAGCATGACTGCTATCTTGTGACAACCAGCAAAGAAAGAAGAGCTGGCATGGTATAGTAGGGGTGAGCAATATTTTTTTAAATCGGTATTTTCAGTTAGGGTCTATTGGACCCCCCAAAAATTCGAGATTTCCAAAAAATCCCAGATTCCAATACTGATATGGTATTCAGATCTGGTATTTTTTGGAAATCCTGAATTTTTGGGGGTCCAGTAGACCCGAGAAGAAAAATATCGTTTTTTAAAAAGCCAGCACGATCCTGGGGCTGCTTTGGCTTTGCCTGCAGCCTGGCTTAAACCAAGCTGCAGGAGAAATCAGCGCAAACCTGAGCTCAATCCTGGCTGGACTTGTTTCTTTTGCAGGCTGCAGGAGAAGCAAGCCCCAGAAGCTGTTGTGCTCCCGGTGGCACAGCAAATTCTGGGGCTGGCTTCTTCTGCAGCCCAGTTTAAACCGGGATGCATGAGAAGCCAGCCTCAAGCCAAGCTGGTGGGAACAGTCTGCTTCCCACTAGGATAGCTGATCTTCAGGATGTCTTCTAAAGTTCCTTTGAACTTTAAAGGGACTGCAGTAGAAGCCTGAGAAACAGTGGAGAGGTGGGAAAAATCTGCTCCCTCGTATTTGCTGTTTTCAGATCTACCTGGTGATTCCTGAATATATCTGGGATTTTTTCAGGATTTTTTCCCTGGTTCTCCCAAGAAAATCTGGATACATTTGGGATGCCGAAATCTTACTGGTATTTTTCAGGTAGATTTTTGGCTCGGGTCGATTTGAATGCACACCCCTATGGTATAGTGTTGGATTATGATCTCAGGGACCTGACTTCAAGTCTTTGCTTAACAGTTTAAGCTCCCGGGGGACCTTAGGCTAATCACTTTCTCACAATCTAGTTTACGTCCTTCTTGTAAAGATCAAGTGGAAGAGGGCAGAATGAGTATACTGTCTTGAACTCTTTGGACAAAGGGCATGATAAAACTGAGGGATAGCTAGAATGAAAGAGATGATTACGTCTTTCACCTCCTCCCTAAAACAATGATCTCTGAAACACAGTGAGCGTGATATGGGGTTCATTCCTCCTGATGGAAGAAGCAGAGCTATTTCCTTCATAGTGTTGTCCACTACAAGACGGAGTAGTAGTTTCCCTTTTTGTCCACTGTTTGGCGATCTGCACCTGGCACCACCTCCTTCTCTGATGGGAAAGAATCAACAAAATGCTCTGAAACCTTCCTTCATGCAGGGTGCTTTTAAAATCTTCATCTTCAGAGGTCGTGGTGGTTGAAAAGATTTGGGCCAGCTCCTTTTTATGCTTATATGGCAGTTCTAGTCTCGAATGGAAAATGAAAAAGTCTCTTGGAGACAAATGCCAGTTAAGTCTATAGACTATAAAAAATTTAGTTTAGAAATATATTGGCTAATAATTTACTTTTTTTGCTTAGTATACAGGCTAGCAATCTTGTTATGGAACTGGATCATTCTGATGGAGCATTAAAAATACATTATTCAGATCGTTTGGTGATCCTCATAAGAGAAGTTCGTCAGCTTTCAGCGTTTGGCTTTGTTATTCCTGCCAAAATACAGCAAGCTTCAAATATTGCACAAAAATTCTTCAAGCAAGCGGTTATTCTCAAACAGGTGACAGCATAAGCTACAGGTTATATTAGAACGTAAGAAAGGCCCTGCTGGATCAGACCAGGGGTCCATTTAATCCAGCAACTTGTCTTACATGGTAGCCAGTCAGGTCCTTTGGATGGCCAACAACAGGGCATAGAGGCCGAGGGCTTCCCCTGATGTTGTCTCTTGGATCTGGAATTCAGAGGAGTAGTGCCTCTGAATGTGAAGGTTCCCCTCAATCACCATAGCTAGTAGCCATTGATAGACTTATTCTCCCTGAATCTATCTAATTCCCTTTTAAAGCTGTTTATTCTTGTGACCATCACTACATCCTCTGGCAGCGAATTCCACATTTTAATCACTCTCTGTATAAAGTAGTATTTTCTTTTGTCTGTCCTGAACCTACTGCTCATCAGCTTCATTGGATGCCCTCAAGTTCTAGTACTTTGGGAGAGGGAGAAAATCTACTGCCCATCAACATGGTTGGATGTCCTTGAGTTTAACTATACAGAATGCTGTCAAAAGGATGGTGGTGGTTTTTATTATTGTGCTGATTTTTTGTTCTTCTCATTTGTAACTTTTTGCTGCAAATTATACAAATGTTGTTTTTCTGCTGTTGATTTCTGTGTTTTTATAGCTGAATCTATTGAATTTTGTTGTCCTGACTTTTAATTTTTTTTCCTTGGGCATCTCTGGATGCTGTTTGGATACTGTTAGTTTTTGGATTTATATTGTTGTTTTTCATTATTATGATTGGGGAGGTCTACTTCGAGTACCTGTGTGCTAAGAATACCAATGTTAAGAAGGACAAAGGGTGTAATACTGAAAGAAATAACTGAAGATATGGTGCTTGTGCATAATGAGCCTAATATCTCTTTGCTTTTATAGGTGGCACATTTTTACAACTCTATTGATCAACAGATGATTCCAAGTCAAAAACCAATGATGCTGCAATCAGCCTTAGCATTTGAACAGATAATTAAAGTAATTTTTATTCAATTAATACTTTTTTACTTCCTTCAAGATGCATGATTTTTACACATCTCCTTTCTGTTGTCTGCCTGCCTATGTTTCTACTGACTAATGGAGCTGATTACATTTCATCTTGTCCAAAATAGTTTTCTAAACTAAGCCTATTGTTTTGAAAATGATTTATTTTTGTTCATCTTAGACACATGGAAGCAAACTGTTTTGTTACATTGAACACATTATGCTGAGGCATAAACATACACAACATTTTGCTAATGGAAGAAATATAGCAAATGGTAATGGACCCAGGAACTTTTGTTTTCTTCTACTATGACAATTAGGCTGTGATCCCAGTTACGATTCCTTGGAAGTTTCCTTCTGAAACAGGGTTGTCAGATCCCTTTGAGACACTGGTGGGAGGATGGGGGGGATTCACCAGGAGCCAGAAGTGTCACCCCCAATGTGCTGATTCCACCAGAAGTGACATTGTGTGCTATACTTACGTCACCCAGAAGTGACATGGGTATGTAGGGGCTGACGCTCTGGGTTTTTTGGCAAAACTCTAGGGTAACATTGCCTCAAACAGAGTTTTGTCCAAAACCCAGAACGTCACCCTACCGCGCAACCTAGTCACTTCCGGGTGAGATAGGCACATCGCTCCATGTTCCCTTTCGGGGAGGGGGTCCTCCTGCCAGCCAGCAGCAGGCAGGAGCTTGCAAAACTGGGGATTCTCTGCCCCCAACTGGGGACTGGCAACCCTATTCTGAAATCATCAGGATTTACTTTTCAGAAGAAGAAGAGAAGAGATTGGATTTATACCCCGCCCTTCACTCGGTGTCTCAGAGCGGTTTACAAACTCCTTTCCCCTCCCCTCCCCACAACAGACACCCAGTGAGGTAGGTGGGGCTGAGAGAGCTCTTTCCAGACCTTGCCCTTGAGAGAAGCTGTGACAGAACTATGGCTTGTCCAAGGTCATCCAGCAGCTGCAAGTGGAGGAGTAGGGAATCAAACCCACTTCTCCCAGATTAGAGTCCACACACTTAACCACTACACTTTTTTGGGGGACTGGGGTAATAACTAGATTATTCAATGGTCAATCCTGTTTAGAATCTTTCACTTGCTTTGACAATATAGGGAATACAAAAAAAGTCCACATTGAAAATGGCAGTATAAAAGAGAGCAGTTTACTTTGGGGGAAATAGGCAGCTCAGAATATTTTGGGTGTTGAATTAGAGCATCTTTTTATTTTGGGATCCTGACTCTCAGGGTGTTTTTGTGCTAGCTTCTTTTCTCTGGTCTCAACAGTACCCACTTTTATTCCTGAGAATTCTAGCTATGTTTTTTTCCAAATCATTGCATTCCTGTGTTGTCTTTTTTAAGTGCTGGTTTATTCATAGCAGTTTTTGGAGCTTCTTTTGCCAACGAAATACAATAATTTCTGATGTAAAATAGAAATAATGCTATTATCTCTAGTTGTCTAGAAGTGTGGCCCATGATGTACTTGGTAAAGATGTTTAACCCTTCCTATCTACATTTCCCTGCTGCTCTTTTATCCTTAGCTGTGCTAAAATGCTGTTTGCCATTGAGTTTAAGTTGCATATTAGTGAGTCCCATTATACTTTCAAGGTGAAATGAGGTGAAATTGACAAAGGATTTGTCCCTGACACTTCAGCTCTGTCTTGAATCTTTAGGGGCATTTCAGATGTGAAAATGGGAATATTTGTCAGTTTCACCTCTTGGTTTTTCCCCCCTCCAGTGCTAGCAGGCAGACACTCACTGCTTTTGATGGGGGGAGGGGGGAATCTTGAAAATGAAAAGGCTTTCTTCCCTTGATCTCTGCAGTGAGGTAGCCTACAGTTTGGAACGAAAGTGTGGTGAAAATTACAAATCTCTTATCAATTTCAACTTATTTTATGTTTTCTCTGAGTGGTATAGCAGTTGTAATGATAGGGAAACATTTACAGAGAAAGAGTGGGCAGGTAAACTGGCTTTCATTCTTTTGGAAGGGTGACTTTTCCTTGGATCAGCAGTAGCAGAGGCTCTTTTTTGCAGGGAAAGGGGTTGCCACACTGGGGAGTATCAGTTTCCTTGCGTATCTGTCCCTACTGAGAAGCATTGATTCCTTTTTCTATTTGACACTTTCTTTTGCTTTCGTTTAATTCATAATAACCAAGTTGGGTCGTCTGTCTGTAGACTCCAGTAGCACCTTAAGGACTAACAAAATTTGTGGCAGGGTAGGAGCTTTCATGAGTCAGTGCTCACTTCTTTGGATATCTTTTTTGTACCCCTAAATATGGACAGTGCGTGATTTGCTGTACTTTATGGAAATGCAAAAATGTAAACTTTTGTGTAACCACAACGTTTCCTTTCCTTGGTAGCACTCAAAGTCTGAGGGACCAATAACCTGGGATAACCCTAAAGTATTAGAAGCATACATAAAAAAGCTCCAAAGTGCAGCAGAACGGCTTGCCACAGAAAACAGAAAGTTAAGAAAATGGCACACTACTTTTGCTGAAAAGGTATTTTTAATCTTTTGTGTGTTGTTTCCATCTTTCTTCCTACCTGGTTGTCGACAAGTTTTAATGTCAGCTAAATTCTTCTTGGTAGGTTGTTGGGCTGATGAACATCGATCTGCTTCGGCCTTCTTGGTAGGTTGTTGGGCTGATGAACATCGATCTGCTTCGGCAGCAGCAACGCTGGAAAGACGGGTTACAGGAGCTGCGAGCTGTTTTTTCTGGCCTTGAGGCACAGGTACGCCTTCATTGGTACTGAAATTCGTAAATTAAATAGGGTGGGAAGCTAATGTTAATGTACTTGGTGTGCACTGCTTCTTAGCAAAACATTTCTTACAAATACATCAGCTTATTACATCTATCGTAACTTTTGAAAATAGTGGCTGTGGATGAAATGTTTCGTTCATCTGCAGTGTATGTGAAATTCATAGCTGAGTCTCTTGCTCAGCTTTGCAGATCATTGAGTGGTTGCAGATCATTGAGTGGCATGGCCCACTCACAGCCAAAATTACACTTGTTAGAATTTTAGGAGTCCATTCGGCATTTAGGATTCTGTTGTTTCAACGCAACCCTAGAGTCGGATTTGACTGGCTTTCGAGCAAGGGAACCTTTACCTTTACCTTTAATGTATGGAAATGAACAGCTGAAGCGTTTCATGGCATGGAGCTAAATACTATTACATGGTAAATAACATCCAGTTAAACCTGTATTGATGAGTCTTTTTCCCCCTCCGGGGAGTTTGATTCTCTACTGCAAATCTCCGATGGAACTCTTGGCTAAGTGCCCTTCCCTAGTTAATTTTAGAGGTGGAACAACTCAACAAGGATATTGAGCTGTTTTGGTAATTTCAGAGAATAGGGAATAGTCATGCTCCTGCACATACAGTGAGAAGTTAGATTGCAGTGACTGGGTTGAAAGGGTACCCAGAGCCCATTTAGTTTGGTTGGTTGTTCTTATATAGAGTATTCTGTAGCTACGCAGCCTCTAAAGATGCCTGTACAGTCTGTTCTTGAAAAGGAAAACCGTTGCATTTGATAAATGGCTTCCATAATTGAGAATGCTGATGTAATTGCATTCTAATATTGTCAAATTGTAGGGTTTCCTTTCACGTGACATGAAAGCTTGGAGACTGCACTGGAATCATCAACTATACAAAGCCCTGGAGCATCAGTATCAGATGGGTTTGGAGGCACTCAATGAAAATCTGCCAGAAATAAACATTGATCTAACTTACAAGTAAGATTTTTGAGGCCTAATGTATGGAAATGAGCAGCTGAAGCTTTTCATGGCATGGAGCTAAATACTATTACATGGTAAATAACATCCAGTTAAACCTGTATTGATGGGTCTTTTTCCCCCTCCAGGGAGTTTGAACCTCTACTGCAAATCTCCGATGGAACTCTTTGCTAAGTGGCCTTCCCTAGTTAACTTTTGTGGTGGAACAACTCAACAAGGATATTGAGCTGTTTTGGTAATTTCAGAGAATAGGGAATAGTCATGCTCCTGCACATACAGTGAGAAGTTAGATTGCAGTGACTGGGTTGAAAGGGTACCCAGAGGCCATTTAGTTTGGTTGGTTGTTCTTATTATCGCTTTTTCACATGTCCACCACCTGTACAGTCTGTTCTTGAAAAGGAAAACCGTTGCATTTGATAAATGGCTTCCATAATTGAGAATGCTGATGTAATTGCATTCTAATATTGTCAAATTGTAGGGTTTCCTTTCACGTGACATGAAAGCTTGGAGACTGCACTGGAATCATCAACTATACAAAGCCCTGGAGCATCAGTATCAGATGGGTTTGGAGGCACTCAATGAAAATCTGCCAGAAATAAACATTGATCTAACTTACAAGTAAGATTTTTTTCCTCCCTGCTGGTAAAACTGATGAAAGATCCTTGAGTTTTCATTACAACCAATGAATAATTGCTGTTCCAAGATGTGATTTGAGGATTAAATGTCTGAGAAATACTAGTTTTAATTTATTTTGAAATCTTTTTTCAGACAAGGGAGGTTACAGTTTAAACCTCCTTTTGAAGAAGTGCGAGCACGATACTACAGAGAAATGAAGAGATTCATCTCTATTCCCAATCAGTTTCGGGGAGTGAGCGAGACGGATGAGGAGTGCATTTTTTCTGTTATGACTGAAAGAAATGCAAGTGGATTTCTGACTACTTTTACTAAAGCAGAAAACTTGTTCAGAAGATTGGCAGAGGTTGCGGACCAATTTAAGGTGCATAAATATTTGCTGTTTGGTTCAGGGACTTTTTGAGGATGAGTATTTTACCAGCTGCCCAACACTGATTTGTATTCGTTTGTGTTTAATTGAGATAATGATGCTTAACATTAAGCTCCTGAGATCTCGTCACACTTCCTCCGGCAATAATGTTTGTTTCGATGCCACTGGTATTACTCTAGCATTTCCTGCCGGAAACATGTAAAGGGCAGAAGCGTGTATGTCTAATTTAAAGGGCAAGAATGAATTCCTAGTCAGTTGTTACCAGTGTGGTTAGAGAATACTAAGCAGCGTTGGCTCAGTTAGAATTTGAAAAAGGTCCGCAGGGAAGAGCAAGAGCAGTTGCAGAAGATCAGCTGGAAGAATCCTGATGATGAGCATGTATACATATGTTTGAAATGCATTGTGGAAAAGTAGCAGTCGCAACTTCAATGCTAACAGAGGACAAAATTCAGTCCTTTGCTATATGGATAGAGGATAGCATATAGAATCCGATATGTAAAGAGACCCCAAGGATGGGGTATATAGTGCATATCTGCCCCCCACTGCATCAGACATGTAAAAATTGGAGGGTGTAAGGGGTTGGTGTTGGAGGTCATCCCGTGGGTGTGTCAGAGCACTTATCAAGGATCAAACATTAAGGACGGGACTTTCTGCTGGGTGAGGTAAGTGGAGAAACAAGGGAAATTGGCAGTGACTTCTGGTCCTGTAAATGCTCACAAAGCCTCCTGACTCTTGCTGTTCCTTTTCACCCCTCCCCGGATGCAGTCTGATGCATGAGCCATTTATTTATTTTATCTGTCTATTTATTTATTTAGACTTGTATCCTGCCCTCCCCGCAAGCGGGGTCAGGACAGATCACATAACAGGTTCTCAAGCCATTCGGCTCATTGCAATGGGTCAATAAATAAACACATTAATACAATATTTAAGAACAGTTAAAAACAGTATAATTTAAAACAGGTAGCGCTGGCAGTTTAAGTATACAGTCTCCAAAACAGGTGCCGCTAGATCCCTCGGTCTTCTTGGTCTGGGCTGTGTAAAGATGGAAGGCTTCAGCAAGGGAGGCCGGCTTTGTTGGATGCCTGCCGCCTCATCCAAAGGTCTGGCAGAACAGCTCCATTTTAGAGGCCCTGTGGAATGTTGATAGGCCATGAATGTCACCTCCACATAGGGCGTCCCCATCCTCCATGGGCAGTGGCTGATACACAGCTGCATGCCTGCACTTTGAGCCTGAGAGGTATGGATTGTGCTCTGATTTATTATTTACTCATTTAATGCATTCTGAGCTCAGTCAACTTCAGCAGATGCATCTGTATCTCCTGGTAGTACCTAACTATTTTGCTTAATTTGAAAAGAATACTGTGCTGAGTAGCTAATAAAATAAGATTTTTTTTCTCTGTTATTTAAAAAAAACATTATGGAAAAGGAGTGGATTGTAATGGGACAAGTGGATATGGAAGCTATGGTGGAGAATCACCTTTTTACTGAACAGGATTGGGAAAAAAACTTCAAGGCACTAAAAGTGAGAGGGAAAGAAGTAGAGCGTCTACCAAGGTATTGTTTTGTGAAAGAATTCTGTGTGAATAATAGACTACCAGATCAGTCATGTTTGAAAGGGAGCCAGTTTTGGTGTGGTGGTTAAGAGCAGCAGACTCTTATCTGGAGAACTGGGTTTGATTCCCCACTCCTCCACATGAAGCCAGCTGGTTGACCTTGGGTCAGTCACAGTTCTCTCTGAGCTCTCTGAGCCCCTAAAAACAAGGTTAGCTCATCACTAGCACAACTTTAAGAGCTAGAATTTGTGGCTGCCAGACAATCCTAGGATCTCTTGGCTATTCAGCACACAAAGCTATAGGATAATTTTTAATTATTATTATTAGTCATGTTTGATAGCATAAATCTACTTTGGATATATATATATTTAATATTTATTCGGCTCTTATTTTTTCTGTGGAATATGGTTCCAGTCTTAGACTAAAACTTCTCAGAAGATTCCCATTGACTTCATGGGGACTGGATACAGTGCTAATAGTATAGTTATTTATGAGACTGTGAAAGTATTGTTTCAGTGCTTGCATGCACTCAAGTAAAGGTGTTATGTGAAATGGTAAACTCATGAGGTTGATTTGCAATAACCTATGAAGTCTGAGGAGGGCCTGGCGTGATGTGGTCCATGGGGTCGCGAAGATTCAGACTCGACTGTGCAACTGACCAACAACATGAAGTCTGAAATTCCCCAATTGGTTGTGGGTTAGCTAGATTTGTTAGTGTTAGCGAGAAACATTTGATACAGGGCTTCAGCACAGAGTTTCATAAGAGCCCTGATGCGGCCCTGTAGTTGCAGCACAGGTTAAGAATTACTTCTGGCTAAATCTGGTTCTTTGTAGATCTATTGCCTGTGTGGAACTAGCTACACCTAACTTTGGACTGAAAGAGAAGCTTCTGTGGGAACTTTTACATGTGTTATCAGAGCTCTTTCAATGACAACATACTGTTGGATTGGGACTAATACTCCTAGTAGCTGCAGAATATTTTGTTTCAGTTATGTAGGGCTCATACTTATCACCTTAATTGAGAAAACATACAGTTAAATTCCTGATTTGTTCCAGCAATCTAGGGTTGTGTTCATAGATAAATGGAATTATAATATGATATCCAGCGCATCTAAGATGACATAGTCCAAAGAATTTTGGAGATTAGGTTATTGTGCCTTGATTGAAACATGAACAGAATAGGATGGTACCCTTCATCTTTAGAACCAAGGCTTGTATGCATATATAGTTTTTTTCAGGACAAGTACAATTGTAATTATTCCAAGTAAAGTTGTCATTTCTCGTGATATATTTCTGTACTTCCACATGAAAGATTTTTGTTGGTATATACCCAAATTATAAAACAGTATTGCATGAGAAAATGAATCAAATTTCCAATGTTTATTTTAAACTTTGCTTAATAATGTGAAAAATAACCAGTAATGTTCTGTCTCTGATCATTTGAAATCTGTTGTCTTAACTTTTGAAGCACCATGAAAGTAGATTGCATAATTGTGAACTGCAACCCTGTGAAGACTATGGTTGATGATCTCATCCAGAAGTTGTATGATGCTCTTGTGATGTCTTTAAGAAAATCTGTACAAGGTAATACACAAGGGAGGGAAGTTCTTGTTTTGCAAAATAGTTGTAAATAGTTGTTTGCCCTTTGTGCCATCTGTAAACCCCTTTTATAACTCTGTACAAAGTGCTATGCTTACTTCCCTGTAATTGCCATTGGTTTCAGTGGCTTTGTGTATTTTTAAGCAAAAGATCACCCTCTAAATTGTTTTGGGATGAATTGTTAATATTATTTTACTGTAGGCTGGACTTTATGCATAGTTATAACCCTAAATTTAAAGCAGTGGGCAAACGATGCCCTTCTGTCCCCACCCCCAACAGTAACAGAAATATAGTTAGCACAAGGCAATTCAGTGGTTTCTGTTCTGTTGTTTTTGTTTTGTTTCAGGAAGGGGCAAAGCACTTGTTTTGTTTTCTTATGATAAAAATTAAGAAACTGGGTGAATTTTGAAAAGTACAAAGTTTGGCATGAGTACTTTCAACCAGTGAGCTGGTATAGTATAGCAGTTACAATGTTATGCTATGGTCTGGGAGACCTGGATTCAAATCCCCCGTCTGCCATGAAGCTTTTTGAGTAACCTTTTGCAAGTCACAGGGTAGAGTAACCTAACCTACCTCACTGGGTAGTTGTGAGGATAAAATGCAGGAGGGGAAGACAGTGTGCATTACTCTGAGCTCTTTGTAAGAAGAATGGGCTATACATAGAGTTGCAAGATCTCCCCCTATGGTGAAAGACCTCCCTCTGGCAACCCCTTCTGCCCACCGCTGCTCTGTTGGCCAGCAAGAGAAAAATAAATTAAGCAGTTGCTGTCAGAGTGATGGCATTAACATCACTTCCAGTGAAAACCTGGAAATGACATCACACTTTCCTAGGAACTGCCAAACTCTGTAATTTCTGGTGAGTCCTAGAGATATACAAGTACTAAAGTAGGGGTGGCCAAACTTGCTGAACTTAAGAGCCACGTAAAATAAACATCAGATGTTTGAGAGCCGCAAGACATGAACAAATATTACGTTTTTATTTTAAAATAGGCAGATTTGCTTTTTATTAGCATTAAACAAGACTGCCAAAAATAAAAGGGGTAAAAACAGATATTGATAATGATATTTATCTGTCCAATTATAGTTATTTGTTTGCTAATGGTATTTATCTGTCTAAGAGAGAGAAAAAGAGAGACAGGCGGAAAGGAAGACTGAAAGAGGTGGAAAGAGAGAAACAAAGAAAGCAAATACATGGGAGGGAGGGGGAAGGAAGGAAGAGAGGGAGGGAGGGAGAAAAAGTATGCCTTCCCTTTGCTTCCCCAGCTGCCCTACTGGGAGCTACACAATGTGTGAAAGAGCCGCATGTGGCTCCCGAGCCACAGTTTGGCCACCCCTGTACTAAAGTATTTGGATTCCATATAGGAAGTGACACGTATGCTCTGATTTCAGGCCACGTTGCGTGGGATGATTTCCTGCATGGATATCGCTTCTGTACTGTTGAAATGTGTGTCTTCATCAGCTATGCACCATCATATGTGAGCTGGAGAGGCTATTAATGAAAAGGTTTTTCATTAATCTAATGCATTTGTTTTCATTTTTCTTTATGTAGCTCATCTGCATGAGATTTCTTCATTCCTTAGTGATGCCATGGAAAGTTTAATAACCAGACCCCAAAGTGTGGATGAAATAGCGCAAGATAATTTAAACTATAGAAACTTAACAGGAAAAAAAGGAGAGGTAATGTTTTTCTACACCATTAAGAAAGATATTTTAAATTAGTCCTAACAGTTCTGTTTACAGTCACAACTTGAATGCCATGATTTTTATTTGAGAAAATTGTTCTGTTACCACACTCTTATTTTGGCATACTCAGCTCGTTTTCCATTAGGCACAGATTTCATTGTATTTCCCCCTCTTTGGCTCATTGATATTATTTCTCTTCTTATTGGGTAACTTATTTATCTTCTGTGTCCCTTAAATAAGGGCAGCAATGTTTGCTATTAAAAATGTAGGGGAAGATCTCCTTGGGAGGATTCCACAGAACTACTTCAAGCACATTCAAAGACTTGGACATCTCTGGAACATTTTTCCTTTTTTCCCCCTTTGAACATCAGGCTCTCAGGCCATATATCACAAGCTTTATCGATCTCCACTGTTTCAGAAGTGGAGCTTGCTCATTGTCTAGCACTAAGCTACCTTGGCTATACAGAAGTGGTTACATTGTTCTTTGGATCCCATCTCACAATGGGGTATAGTACAATCCACAGTGCATCTACTTTGCAGAAGTTAGTGGGATGTTCCATGGTAAAGAGATTGATGACTGGAGCCATAACATAACCTCTGTAATGTGAAGAAAAGGATAAAGCTGAGGCTCAGTCCATTCAGAAGGAGGCTGAGTTTGTGAGCACAGTGGGATCCTCTTATCCGTTCCTGCCTTGGCATGCACTGTTTCTCAGAGTGCCAGCCCAGTATGTAGAATGGGAGATCTGTGCGTGCCTCCCACCTCTTTCTCCAGTCCAACTCTTAAGAAACACACATGGGTATTTTAGCTGTGGTGGACTGGATGAAACCCAGCTTATGTTAGAATGGCCAGATGTAAAACAATTAAGATAATAAATTCAGGTGAGTAGCCGTGTTGTTTGGAAGCAACAGAAGGAAGTGAGTCCAGTGGCACCTTTAAGACCAACAAAGTTTAATTCTGGATATGAGCTTTCGTGTTTATGCACACTTCATCAGGTACAGTGAAACAGTTTTCTTCAAGCTTTACATACAGATTGGATTAAAGCCGTTGTTAAGACCTGTGAATGGCAGCAAATTAGCATACAAATACAAGAGTGAACAAACAGATGTGAGAACTAAGTGCCACCGGACTCAAACGTAGTTCTCACATCTGTTTGTTAACTCTTGTATTTGTAAATGCTAATTTGCTGCTTTAATCCAATTAAACAACTGCTTTAATCCAATCTCAGCTATACTTATTGTCCGGTTACTTATGCATTTTAACTCTAACTGGCCCTTCCTGGGAATTAACCCCACCCCCCTCTCTCTACGTATGTGTAAGGCTTGAGGAAAACCATTTCAATGTATCTGATGAAGTGTGCACGCACACAAAAGTTTATACCCAGAATTAAACTTTGTTGGTCTTAAAGGTGCCACTGGACTCAAACTTTGTTCAGTTAAGAGAATAGTCATTGCTGCAATTGCATTGGAATGTATTTTTCTGTTGAGGTAAACATATGTGTTGGTTTGCATTGATCCATCTTTGAATATTTACCTGGGATAAATAGAAGAATTGGCAACTGGATTAAAGAATACAGCTATTTAAACTCTGCTGAAGTTCTTTTCAGGAGGTAGCCATGTTGGTCTGCAGTAGAACAGTTAGATTCATGTCCAGTAGCACCTTAGCGGCCAATAAGAGTTTCAGGGTATAAGTTTTTGAGAGCAGAGGTTCTGTATGTTAACAAAGCCCAGGAATTTCCAGTCTGTGTATATATCACACGCAGACATATCCTTTAAAGAAGCTGTTTGGAGACTGGCAGTACTATCCTAAGCAGAGTTCTGTGCTTCTCAGTCAGTTGAAGCCATTTTACTGAACATATTTTTCTTTTGAACTCTGTTTTTAGATTTCCGGTCGGTTCTATAGTCCCTAATCCTATTGCATTGTTTATTACAACGTCCCCTCTTGTTGATTGTGTTGACTTGCTCTGTGTACTCTGCCTCCAGTCCAAGCGAGAAAAGTGGACTATAAATAACGCAAATAAATAAATATAATACGTAAATAAATATAAATATAATATTTATCCGTATGTTGACCGAAAAACTTGATTAATAATGTTCCGCTTATTAGCAAGCAAAAGTAGAGTATAAATCTAAAAAATCGCAATGAGAGTGCAGGTTTTGTCTATATCATCATATTCATCTAAAATCTTTTTATTTAGGTTTTCCTCCTGTTTCAAGAAGCAGAAGGTAAAAACAAGCTCCTTCGGACTGTGGCTGGTGGGGGCATTGACACCATCAGCAATCTGAGAGCTACATGGGACAAATTTGAATTAATGATGGAAAGCCATCAACTTATGATTAAAGAACAGGTAAATTGGGATGGATCACAAACGTCTTTTTGTTCAGAGGTAGATGGAGGGAGGAAGTAGGGAAGGTGCATTTGTTGGTCCCTGCCTACTGTATTGTATTGAAAAGCTGGGAATGTACACACGGCAATAAGGTGTCCCTGAAGGATGAGCGTAGTGCAGAATGTTATGAAAATATGATCAATATGAACAAGGAATTGTGAACTCTGATCCTGAAATGGCTTAGACCTCTGAGGGCTGTCCGACACATTGCACGGTACTGCCTATGGGTTTGCGACTAAGTGTACAATTTGATAGGAAACGGCAGCAAATGATATATATGGTTTCAAACATTGGTTTGTTATAGTCACGATTTACATTTTTGGTGTACAGTAATAATATCTTGAATGGACACCCTGGAGCTCTGTGCAGGCATGGCAATGTATGGTGAGCATATTCAGAATATACGATCATGTTTATTTTTATGTTTGTTATTAATTGTGTTACTTCTACAAGTATAGTATAGTTGAATACAAGTGGGGGACCCACAAGGACTTGCAGGGATCTCATTTCTTCCCCTCCACAATTCTCTATCCCTTTTTTCTGTTTCCTTCTCTCTTTTCCACCCACCAGTCAACCCACCTTTATCCGCCCTCCTGTCTTTAGCGTTCTTTCTTTCACTTGCAGCCTAAATCCACGAAAATATAGCCAAGTTGCACAGTTTTGGCTGCCAGGCCCAGTTGCTCATTAAGGGACATGCAAAGACTTGCACAGGGGACTTCACTTTCCATGCATCCCTCTCCCCACACTATTTCCTATTTCCCTCCTCATGGCAACCCCCATATCTTCACTTTCCCCTGCTTCCTTTTCTCCTTCCCATTCACCAACCAATCTGCCTTTTATTTGCCCATCATCTTTGGCTATGTTTATTATCTATTTGCTTCCTATACCCTGCTTTTCTCCCAAATGGGGCATCAAAGCTGCTTACCTGGTTCTCCTCTCCTCCATTTTATCCTCACAGCTACCATGTGAGATAGGATAGACTAAGAATATGTTACTTTCCCAAGGTCACCCATTAAGCCTGTATGGCAGAATGGTAATTTGACTGTGGGTCTACCAGATACTAGTCTGAAACTCTAACCACTACACCACGCTGGATTTTATGGGGTGGCTGCTGCTGAATAGTAGCGAACAGCCAGTCCTGGGTTAGTCATGCAAGTCATATGGTATCAAGTTGGACAGTGGTTCCTGCCAGGCCTGACCCTGATGGGATCCTCTCTTGAACGCCAAAACTGCCCTGGAGGTCCTGTACTCTCCCCAGGCCTTTCACTGACAGAAGCAACAGCCACAATGGCCACTGACTTTCTTAAAGCTACAGGTGCTGCTTTTGTTATTTGGGTTGGGTCTAATGTACTTTTTCAGGTTTTCAGCAAACATGAGGCTTTTTTCGGGTTTGCAGAAAGATCTGGCTTTTCTGTCCATGGTTCCAATCTCCAGATTTAAGTATCCACTGATGGGGCCACACTGAGAATTAGATATATTGATGATAGCAACTAAGGTCTAAATATGTGTGCACTGTTCACACATTGTCAAGTCACAGCCTGAGACAATTCTCAGGCATAATTATGGGATCCCCATAGAATGCCACTCATCCAGCTCTGTCACTCCATTAATTGAGAGTGGATGTAATATAGTCTAGGTCAGGGAGGCAAAATTTCCTTTTAGGAAGGTTAGGGGGCTTGCCATCATCACACCACTGTTTGCTCCAGCAGTAGATACCTTGTAGTTTTTTTGTGAGTTGGTGACAGGGTGGTTCCATATATGTGCTGGCCTCTTATATCTGAATGTGCCACCAGCACCTTGTATGTAGCTGATATAGTGCAATACTGAAAGGCTATGCCTTGTTTTGGATAGTGTCTGTTTCTTTCATAAACTGCCGAATACGAGGAACGTTAAAAAAAATCTGCAATTCTGAAAGGCTATGCCTTGTTTTGGATAGTGTCTGTTTCTTTCATAAACTGCCGAATACGAGGAACGTTAAAAAAAATCTTGTCTTTTTTTTTAAGGTTGAAGTGATGAAAGGTAACGTGATGTCCCGTGTTAATATGTATCTTCAAGGACTGGAGAAATTTAAAGCACGCTGGGACCAGTTAAAACCCAGTGATGATATCATTGAAACAGGTCATCATGATATACTGCAGAAAAGTGCTCAGACAATAAAAGAAAAGAAAGCTGAGTTTGATGAACTTGAGGATACGAAACAAAAGCTAATGTGTGTTTATTTCTGTAGATGCATATTATTAAAAGTAGGACTGTAACCAGAATTTGTAAATACATGTTTTTGAAAGCAAATTAGACCACTGGGAATTGCATATTGCCATTTTTCAGTTGTGCACAGAATGAAGAGTATGTCCATGAATAAATGGTAGATAAACGGTTGCGACTTTGTTAATCAAAACACAACTCTGCAGTGGGCATCTTAAATGAGTTAATACCTAAATGTAGTACGGTAGTTAATGTTTTTGGTGACAAGGTGATTTTAGACATTCTTTGTTGTCTTCCATCTCCTTTCTAGGGTCTCAATCCTAGCTCTGAGTTCTTTAGTACTCACTCATACTGTTCAGGCACTTCCTAGTGTACACTTTGGTGTTCAGCGGAGGGGGCTGTCCATGTCCCCATATCCCTAGTTCATAAATTTTGGGTCTGGGAGTCTAGCCTGCTCCCAAGGTGGTTCCTAGCCTTGTTCCCCAAGCCAAAGTACTCCCAAATGACTGGCCTGAGGAGGCCCCAGATCTTCGACGTGTTCTCTGTGCTTCACACCCATGGGATCTAGTGCACACGCGCTGGATCGATCGGCATTGTAGCAAGCTCTTTTAACGGATTTTTGCGCCCAGACCTCGGGCATGCACAGGAACCCCACCGCGCATGCCCAGAGGGGAGGGCGCGGACATCCCTCCAGTTCCTTTCTTACCGCCGCATTGGAAAGACCTTTTCTCCATCGGTCTGATCGGTTCAATATTTTTGGCTATTTGCCTCACGGCTCTTTGAATTTTTCCTCACTTATCCACCTTTTTTGTGTTACTTCTTTGTTATCTACAAAAACTTTAAAAAAAAAGACTTTATTTTTCCTGAGGGGCGAAAGTTCCGTTTACCTCAGCTTGGCCTTCGGGCTCTACCCTCCCCTTTCCCCCTTCTTTCTCCACTATTTTCTTATTCTATGGAGAAAAAGTGGGGCTTTTTTAACCTGTGTCAACGTTGCGGTAGTAAACTCGCATCGCCTGACCTGTGTCTGGGAGAGTCTCACAGACCGGACTCTTGCCAGCACTGTGCAAGATTTTCAAACCAAACCCGAAAAAACAGAGCTGCACGCCTCAAAG